TTACTACAACCCTGTGTCCCACAATAGATTTCAAAATATATTTTATGGCACAAATTCCTTTTTTTACTGTTAGGACATGGAAAGTTTTGCAACATTTTACCAGGCCATGTTCTCACTAACGTTAAGAATGAATGGTATGAAATACCATTGGGGTACACAGTTATTGATTTTAAATTAAGGCTTCTGACAAGCTTTGCAAATTACCAACACCTGGCAAATGGTGCTGGAAAAATAAGGAACAGTGCAAAGAAAAATAAAGCAATGCAAATTAATTCTGAATGCTGTGTGTACAAGACTGTTCTAAATTACACAGGCTTTGCAAAGCTTTTAGAATTCTTCAATAATGCAGAGACAATTTCTGTGTTTTACAACAACAACTAGTTTTACCCTTTTCCAGAAAGGACAGCTCCATGTTCTCCCTCCCTTCCACCGCCACGCCCCTGTTGCTTCTTTCAATTTTTCTTTAGACATTTCAGACTTGAGCTACATTATCCCAACACCTGGCCTCATTTTGGGCATCTTACAGCTGCCTAGAGTAAATCAGGGGTGTACACTGGCTTATATAGAATGTGTTATATCAAAGGTTATTGTTACTTTGTGTGCAGGTCATTGTAGTTTATTAAAAAAATTACTGTACTTTGTATATCATCATTGTTCTTAAAAACTGAATAAAGCTTACATGATGACTTACATGTTTGGAGGTGTTACTACTGCATGATTGTCCCATTTACTTTTTTCTCCATTGTTATTTTAAAAAGTAAATTTTTTGTAAAGATAAAGAAAAAAAATAAACCACAACATCAAAACTCCAGTGGATATATGTATTTCAAAACATACCTCTAATCACTCCATTAACTTAGTTGGCTTCTGGTTTAGCTCACTGTTGATGCTTGAAGTGCACAAAGCAGAAAACTACATCTTTAAGTACCCCCTCAAGGACTGTGTGCAATATTAAACTTACTTGAGTATTAAATTGAATAAACATGACAGTATTGAGTGTAGGGAAAACTGTGTCACATTTCACAAGTGTCTCCCTAGAATATGATTATACTATTACTGTCTAAAGCGTTTTGTTTTTTCTTGCCTGCCTCCATGAGCTAATGTTGTTTATTTGAAATTTAAATTAAGGAGACTGAATTATAGGTTGTGAAATATATTGAAAGCTTTTCTGTATTATATTAGTTAGGAGATTGCATATGTTGAGGACAATAGACCTTGGTACCTGAGAATTCTCTAAATAATGTTAACACAAAATTTCACATTTTAACCCGAAAATAAGAATAAGTAAAATGTCATCTGCTTTCCATATGCTCAAATATTGTATTTAGGTATTTGTTTTATTTTGAAATGACCACAGGACTCCATACATGTACATTTTTTGTGTCTATCATTTTTTGATTCTTAGTGAGTTGAGTATAAACAAGCATGTCATGAGAGAATCGTGGAGGCTGCCATTGCTGACCATTATTTCTTAAAACGCTAGTTGCCTGGCCATCATGCTGATGCAATAGCTTCAATGCATTGAGTAACTGACCTTGAAGTATCGAGATAGGGAATTTTCACAGGGGATGAGCATTTTCAGAAATAATTCTCATGACAGAGCCACTTTAACATTTCTGTGAATGTACAATATCTTATAAAAGTGAAGGTGACCGAATGATTGTACAGTATCTTATAAGTGAAGGTTACCTGAATGATTGTAGAAAAGTCTGACCAACACCATTTACCAAATCTGTTGATCCTGAAATCTCCCTTGGCATAACTTTTACCTTTACCAATACCTTTTTTACATGTTTTAAATAAATATCAAAACAAAAACTTGCCCTCCAAAAAAAAAAGAAAAAATAGCCATTTATACCATATTATATATCGAATATGAGAATGTTTACCTATCACTCCTGGAATGGTGTTTCTAATGGAAAGGCACTAACCTGTCAAAACACAAATAAGGAAACTGCCATGACCATTTCAACTCAATGTCTTTTCTCCAGAGCTGTCATCTTTGTCCTTATTTTGCTACTCAGTTATCACAATGACCTAGAACAAGCATACCGTTTAGTGTCAGCATAATTATTAAGCAAATTGTCCTGAGTTAGAAACTTAAAAAGACATGAAAGAAGGATAAAGATCATGCCAGGCAGGCGTTTCTGCCATTGGCAACACTTTTTAAAGTGGCAAAATCACATAGGTGAGTGAAGCACTTGCCCTAATGGAGTCACTTCCAATGCTGACTCAGACTGCTGCAGAATCTTGCTCTCTAATAAATTAGCAATTGGCAATTGACATTTTGCTGGTCAGCATATAAGCAAATGCATAGCTAAAAGTAAGTGGTTCATTGTTGCCAGCTACAGGATATCTCCTCTAACATTAGTCAAAAGATCACAGCTTCTTAAGCTTGCATCTTAAAAAAGCAGATTCTATAAATATGTGCTTGTAGGCAGGAGTCGCATGAGGCGGGGTGTCACCTGGAGTGACCAAAGGGTTAAACCCCACCATGACATCATTGTGCATGTGCATGATGACATCACGCACTGTTACCTACCGACAGCCATCTTGGTGATGGACGCCGGCAGAGAGTGAGGGGTACATTCACCTGGTGGGATGAGGTATGATGTTGGGTCTCCTTCTCTCTTGTGCAACTGCCGGGTCCATGAATGAGTGTCAGACTTTTCAGAGGGGTTGACACCAAAATGACTGTCAGTGATTTTGGGGTCACCTGCCACTGCTGGTAGGTTTCTTTAAATTTGTCTCTAGGCTAAACCGTTGTATTTGTTAATTTTGGATAAAGTGGGGTAGGGTTAGAAGTTTCTAACCACATTGAGAGATTCACCCCTTCATTTGTACTAGTGACCTTTGTCACCAAGGAAGAAAGTTAGAGGAAATCCAGAATTTTTGATTTGTCCCCAGAAGAAGAGGTGAGGCAGAATCTTCCAATGGGGACACCTTTTCTGGGGCAACTGTCTAAGAGAGGAATTCCCCTCATGTTCCACTAATGCACTTTGTCTCGGACACAGGGAGTGAAGAGACATTTCCACAATGGTAGACAGCAAAAAAATTAACCCAGCAGGTTTTTTTTAGCCTTTTCCACTGTATCCACACATATTATTACACTTAAATGCCTGTGCCTGTGCCCAGACTTTGCACACTAAAGTATTTACATATTCTGAACAAGCAGTAAAAGCCCTATGAAACAAGCCCTCATTAACCTCTGTAACTATATGCATAATGGATAAATACATCTTCAAAATTCATGACAGATGCATAGAAAGTTAATTATCGTATGTACAGTATACCCCTCGCTTGCACTTGGGTGTGCATTAACACATTGTTAACATGTATTTCAGTCCTTTATTTTTTACATCTTTGTAACTGTAGCACATTGGGATATGTTACAGTGCATCGGGATATGAGTGTAGTGCAACACATGCATTATAATCTACTTTTCTTTTCCATGTGCAAAAATAAAAAAATGCATATGAAAATAAAATAATAAATATATGCTCAAGGGGACATAAGATCAATTGACTTGCTCTTGCATGTTAGACATACCCTTTAACTTTTCGAGTGAAAAGCAACATTGAGACAGATGTATGATATTCTTGGTTCTTTTGACTAACATGTTGATTATGTGGTGTGTGACGCTTACATATTTCACCTGTGATAATAATCTACCTAACACATAAAATGTCATATGTAATTTCATAAACATACCAGGTCAAGGTGTTACCACACATCTGTATACTATGAATTACCCTTTGAATTGTAATGGCACCCTGGGTGCAAAACAGACTGCATCTCAGCCACATAAACCTGGATAAGGAATAAGTTGAGGAACCATCATTAGTAAGAATGACAGTTCACATTTCTGTCCCACTGTGAGGAGCCTTCTAGTAAATACACGGCAAATGCAAGTGTGAGTATCACATCTTAATAAAGGAAATCCTATATAATTCCTATTTTCCTAACTGCTAAAAGTAAAACGTTTCTTTTGGAAAACACTGAATAATTATCTGAAATAAATCAGTAGTACTCAAGCTTTAACCCCTTCATGACTGAGGCCCTTTTTTCCATTTTTGCACCCATGTTATATTCCACATTTTAGGCCTGAAAATGACGTAAAACCCCCCAACATTATATATTTTCTGAATGCCAAGACCCTATAGAATAAAATGGTGAAAGCCGACAGTCGGCTCTACAAGTTTAAACAGAGTCCCGGCGGCAAAAGTCGCCGGGAGTCTGTTTAAACAGCCCCGATGCTGGCGACGTACACTGTACGTCGTCAGTCACGAAGGGGTTAAAGAAGCTTTAAAGAAGAACTCTGCATAAATATTTTCTTAACCCTTGCAGTGGGCTACCCCCGCACTGCAAGGATTTAAAAAACAATGGGGTAACCAATTTCTGTCATAATTCTCTTTAGGTTCATGGGAGGACATATACTAATGTCCTCGTATGACCCAAAACTCAGTATATAGTGGGCTATTGCCTGCTATATGGTGAGAGCACCACAACTGGGACAGATCCTGACAATACTGTCGATATCCACCCAGCTGGATAATTGACAGCGGGCTCTGCCTATCATCTAGAGGCAGAGGCAGCTGTGCCCGTCCCCTCCACATCTGTTCCTCCAGTCAGTGCTGGAAGTTTAGAGAGGGGAGGAGGGGAATCCCTGCGGGGAGCGTTAACTGACCGCCCCCGCTCTCTGCAGGGAGATGATCAGGAAGTGAGTGAGCGGCGGTTTTTGTTCACTTCCCGGTCCTAGGTGTGAAAATAGCAAAGTTATACTCACCTGAACCTCGCAACCGGCTGGCTGTTAGGAGTGCTCCCTGCCGCCCATCTCCTCCACTCCAGCGATGGTATGTCACTCGGAGTCCTCATGTCCAATATACAGCAATTCTGTTCTGCTTCTCTCCTATTTCCAAGAGCCATAAGGTTAAAGATGGTGACATGTCAAATGGCTGAGCAGTGAGGAGAGCAAAAGCTGCAGGCTGTGCCGCCCGGAGGCCGAGCTGTGTTGGCCACCTGGTGCCCCTGTTTCCATGGCGCCTGTGTGGCCACACAGCTTGAAGACCCCAAAGGTCGGCCCTGGGTTGGATCATGGTGGAGTGAAGTTCTACGTTGGTAAAAGAGTTTGACACTATCTAATGTGAATACATGCTTAATATACCAAGTGTCCATGGTCATGTGTACCCTGCTGCCAACGAGGGCTCAGCAACAGGGATAGGTTTCCCTTCACAAGAAAGGGAGAAGAGAGCTGACACTTAGTAAGAAGTAATGGTGACTGGGGAACTGTCACTCTGGTACAGTGAAGAGCTGCTTTGAGATGCTGGAAATGCTTCCATTACATTTTTTTCTGCTACCGGAATTTAAGAAGGGAAACCTTATGAGTCAGCCTCATCTTGCTGAGGTGCTGCTTCCACTGTGCTGCATGCTTGTGCATCATGATGGTACCCAAGCTGGTGTTTCTGTGATGCCTGCCATTTCTAGCAGAGGTTGCAGATCCTAATGTTGATATCAGCAACAGACAAAAAAAAAGGCCCTCACTGCAGAGGATGTGTATTCTTAGAATGTACAGCGCTAGCCCTCCTTAAGACAGAGATGTAAGAAATCAAACGTTTAAGATCAGGGTTTGAGGTAGGCAATTGAAACTAAAAAATCAAATCAAACATTCAGTGCAGGGGTGTATCGCAAAAGCTCAATGATTTAGATTAAATCTATGTGAATGGTTGTCTATAACAAGTGATCAAAAGATGTATGAAATTTATCTAATAAATGTTTAAAAACTGTGATAAACTGTGAATGATTGTATCAGGTGTGAAATATTATATTAAATGGTGAATAAACAATGTGTAACCATTTAAATAAACTGAAACAAAATAAAATAAACTTCTATCAATGTATTCGTGAATAGTCCAAATCTTTTGTAGTTTTTCAAGTCTTTAAAAGTCCATAAATGTAAGACACTTCCACAACGAAATTTCAGTGCAATAATGTGTTCAACGAAAATCCAAACTTCCACAGTGAAAAATCAGTACAATAATGTGTCCAACACAAATCCAAAAAAACAGAAGAAAAAACGAAGAAAAAATGAAGAAAAAAAGTGGAGAAGATCCCCTCAAGGGAATACACTCACCAGATCAGAAGATGTTAAACACGTTTGTTTCATCAAGCTGAGCCTGAAGCTCCGTCCTAGATTTCCACGCTGGGTCAGGTTTCAGGGAAGGAAAGGTCTCCCGTTTACCCGTGGTGTTTAAACGGAGTATCCTCGTATTTTAGGGGTCCTTCCGGTGGGATATCCAATCACATAATAGTAGAAATAAAACATACGCTCATAGCGTAATAAAACCCAGGTTTATTAAGAACATGCAACATACAAGTTAAAATGAGCGCTCAAAAATATTGTTTAAAAAAGCCGGCTGGTCACTTTAGGCGTGATTCCTTTAGAGTGGATCAAATGAAGTGAAAATAGGCCCGCCCCCGACGCGTTTCGTCACACAGACGTTCTCAAGGGATAGCAGGTCACTGCAGAGGAGGCTGGACTGGCCTTAGGGGCGGTGCCTCCCGATGGATTTGGGTGGCTGGTGCCTGCTGTTCTCTGCAAGGTGCCCCTGCCTCTCAACAACGTCTTGCTGTTCTTCAGCCTTCCTCTCTGAGTTTTTCTCTTCACACCTTCATGTTTTGTCTGTTGCGTAGCAAAGACCTAGCCAGAGAAAATAAAATACCCCCCCCCCCAAAAAAAAAAAAATTAAAAACATTAATTATATCTATACATGTGTGTAATGGTGTATTTTTTTGAACTGTTGGCAGGTGCTTTGTCAAGCGCCAATGTGTACTTTCTTTGTGCAATGACATGTTTTGACACATTTGTATGCCTTTTTAATGCATTTTTGGATTTAGAATTTGGAGTTGATAAGGTTAATAGCCATTGAACAAGGTTTGTTAATACCTGTTGCCAATGCATCAAAATGCATGTTATATGCATTTTGTACATTTTGATACACTGCCAGTGACTTTTATTGGCTTTTAACCTCTTGCCGTCCGCCCGTAGTAAAAAAACGGACGGACGGCACTGCAGCATCTGCGGGTTGCCGTCTCCAGACGGCAATTTTTTTCTGCTCGCGCGCGCCCCCTAGCGGGCACGCACGGGCAGAAAAGACCCGTCCAATGCGAACACCCGGTACCGGGTGTTTCACATATAGGCGATCAGCGGGTCCATAGCCCGCCGATCGCCTATATGTGCTCGTTCGCTATATGTGCTGATCCCCGTCCGGGCTGTGAATGCAGAAGTGCAGAAGTGATGTGCAGAAGTGATGTGTGTTACAGATCTCTGCTTTATCAGCTTCTTTTGGGGTCCATAGGTGATATTAGGGGTCCTAGAGACCCCTAATATCTCCATAAAGAGGACCTGTCAGTGTGCCTTTGCTATTATATAGGGGGTTGTTATCCCCCTATATAATAGCAATAACAATAAGTGCAAAAAAAAAAATATAAATAAAAAAAAAGAAAAGTAACACATAAAAAAATAAAATAAAATAAAAGCCACATATAAAAAAAGGGGAAAAAACCCCCCCAAAATGTTTAACTCCCCCACCCCCACGTTTACGCGCCTATAAACGTAAATACGCGTCCGGTGCCCCAGCGCGCAAAAATTACAATTGCGCTACACATGTTACATATCGCCGCGAACGTCGCAGTGAGAGCAATCATTTTAGGGCCATCAATCACTGATAACACTAAACTGATGAGCGGTAACAGCTTTTAAAGCGTCGCCTAGGGCCAATTTTGGGTATTATCGTTTTTTGAGGTTTCGCGCGCGCACGCAATTTTAAGGCTTGACATGTTTAGTGTCTTTTTACCCGACGTGACCCCATCTTTTATATTTTACCAAAAAATTGGGTAATAATAAATGTTTTATCATTTAATATAGGGGAAACTGTTTTTTTTTTTAAATTTCGGTAATTTTTCCTTAATATAGTAAAAAAATAAAACCCCCAGTGGTGAATAAATACCACCAAAAGAAAGCTCTATCTGTCCCCAAAAAAGGGTATAAAATTCATTTCAGTACAGCGCTGCATGACGGAATAAATGTCAGTTAAAGTACCGCAGCGCTGAATACTGAAAAATGGCCTGGATGGGAAGGGGGTTTAACACCGCAGATGTCAACTGGTTAATTTATGAAAAATGCACACAAAAAAGATTAATAGCCAGGAAAAAATATGTTGTATTTTTCTAACAGTGTAAATCGGCCCAAAATGAGAAGACCCTATTGAATCACAAAATAAACAAACAAGGCTGCACAGGGATAGCACAATGACTAAAAAGCAAGGGCACCATTTGCTGTCATAGAAAACAAAAGCGTCCTAAGTTGGGTCTTTGGAACTGTGAACACAGGAAGTATACAAGGGTATGTAGCTAACCACACTGCAATCTACAATATAGCACTAGTATAGCACTTTAAAGGACAGTATAGTACTATATGGAGAGATACTGTGTACTATACTGCTCTGCCTATGCAATGCCTACACTTTTTCTAGTAAGGGGTTGGCTTGTTTATTTTAATCAGAAAACTGGATCTCAGAGACTTTTCAGACTAGGGCAAAGGTCATGTAGTGCAGTTATTATGCACTATGCACGGCCTATGCACAGCCATTATTATGTAATTTCACTGAATTTTGAAACCAGGAGATCTGCCTCGAACCCAAGGTGGCTACAAAACCGAACCTTATCCCTATTCACTGAGAGCATCCCAGACATTCAATGCACTTGAGTGGATGTGTTTAGAGAGTCTTCGTTAAGTGATCAGAGTAGATAGTGTATATGTCTTATCTTGGATCAAAAACTGCCTGCTTTTGCTACATAATCGTAAGCCCTCTCGGACAGAGGCAAACACACTTGCTATGCAAAGTACAATAGTGATTTTTGCAAAGTGTATAAATCTATCATAAACGATCTCAAACCCAACCCTGCTATTTGATGCAATGAACAAAATCACTTCTACAAATCAGAGGCTAAACCCACCACCACCCGTACTGTGTATAGTGCCAAGAAGTACTGGAACATATGAAAAGTATATAAAGCCATCTCAGTACAAATACATCAGATCCCAAGAATAGAATTAAAGTAAATTAAAATTCTGTGGCACCACTGAATACATTGTAAATTACTTTTTTTTAATACCAAGGTGATATAAGGCTGCCCTTATTATACTTGTATCATAGCTAGTAAATTACTGTAACTAGTGAGACATTGTGTGTAACTAGTGAGACACAATTCACAGACTGTATAATGTTATACTTGAAGGACAGTTTTTACTGTCAACTGAATTTGATGCTATCTATGTAAATCTTATTTTACATCAAGGATTGTATTATCAAATACAAATAATCTTCATACTTTACTCCTTAAAGAATAACTGATTACAGGTTTAAACCTGCAAAGTTGCTTGGTATACAAGGATATCTTAAAATAACTGAGGTGTTTATCCTTTAAGGCTGCTTATCCAGTGACGATTTTGTGGAAGATATGATTTAAAAAAAAAAAAACACGCAACAGAAGACAAACATTTTAGATAGAAAAATTATAGCTGGCTGATAAAAATGGGCAATATTTTTGAAAACACATTCTCTGCAAAAAACAGTTTATGAAAAATATTATCAAACAACGGTTTAAACTAAACGCAATTACAATCCTAAATCTCTATGTGTATAAAATAGTGCATCACGTCTACATACAAAAAGGTGATTACAAAAAAAGCAAACTTGTAAGAAGGATTATAAGGTCTAAAGGACTTTCTGGCAAGAAAAAGGTAAAAATCTGGTTGGCCAGAGAAAAGAAAAATGCAGGCGGACACTTAGGGCATAGTGTACATATGGTAGCAGATGAAATTATCATCGCTACCTCAGCCACACAGGACTATGGTATTCTGTCTACTCTATGGTCCACTCTCAATCAAATGAAAACTAGCCTGACTGCAGTAATATCAAATTAATTAGGAATGCCAGTGGCTGCCTGCAATGATAACCCTAGAGCATGTCTCATGTAAGCAGGGGAACTACTATTTAATCAAGAATGCTATGCATATAAAA